TGTATCCGTCCATAACACCATTTATATTCGGTCTTAATTTCAGAGTAGAATGTGGCTTTCCTCCAGCGTACATGTAGGCGGCACGTGATACGAACGATAAAACGTCCAAACAGTGACATGATTCGGTTCCTTCTGAAAGTCGTAAGGCATTCCAGAAATCAATTCCCCTATAAAAGGCCACATAGACTCGCAGACTTAAAAGTTTCAGGTGAGTAATTGTCACCTGATAACGTTTATTTATGCAACTACTGATTTGCCGGCATGCTTGATTGAAATTCGATAACAGGCTGAAGCTAGTGCCAGAAAGCGAAGAAGACAAAAATTGTTTCTTGTGTCTTGTAATTTTTTGCTACATCGAAGATTTTATAACTTACACCTTTTGTATTTTAACACAGCTTCTCAACTACAGGTATTTCGGATGGATAAAAAAAACAAAAGATAACAAAAGGTTTGCCGCCTACCATAATTCGCAGTTGCGTGACTCGGGTCAGAGGTCATATTTTTAAGTGTAATATTTGCATTTTACTCTGCTTTGTCAAAGCTCGTGATTTCATTTACCCAAAAATTTTATTTCGCCAATTTGAAGAAAAAAGAATGCTCTTTCAGAATAAGCAAACCTTGTTGGTTAGAGCCATGTACCAATACGCTTTTTTTGCTCTTGAAAATGTGCTAAATTTTGACCGTTTGAAAAGCGATTTTGAGTCAACAACTTTGAAAATTTGTTAAAAAATCTATTATTGACTAAATCGCGATCTTATTAGTTCTAGTTATAGAGGAAAAGAAATAAAGATATGACGTGCTGTTATATTTTAATGACAATCTTTATTTTTAAATATACGAGCCACTAAAACTGGCTCTAATTTTTGCATAATTTTAGCCCATTTTAGTCCTCGGGAAGAAAAAATTTGTTAAAAAAATATCGTTCAATCGATCGCACTTAAACCAACGATTTTGTAACTAGGGCCCACAGGGCTTCATTCTGGCTGAGTTTGAGGAGGGTCTCAATGGGGTGGTGGCTTTTACGGTTATCGGCTAAAATTTTGACTCTTTTACGGCTATCGGTTAATTTTTTTCAGTTACGGTTAACAAAAAAGTTAAATCATCTCGGGATGAAATTAGCTATTCTTTTGAAAAAATTTAACATTTGATAGATCATACTTTTTATAAAGTATTCCTTTTCTAACATTATTTTACACATAGAAATGTCAATAGTCAATTTAAAAATATTCTTCGTGAAAAAGCAAAAGCAGACACGCGAACGCCCAACTCAAGGCCGGGGCGCGACATTCATTTTAACAGAAATGGTCGTTTTCACACTAGAGATGGATTATTCGTGTGAGACGGGTATCCGTTTGATGATTCGCGTCAGATAGGTAATACGTCTTAATTTGAAAATGGAATAGTTTTAATTTTGAATGAACAACCCGCCTGACTTTATCCGTCAATTTCGATGGACAGTTTGAAGACGGGATTATCCGTTCAAGATAGCCTGTGTACAGCCGCCCCTCCCCTCAGAAAAAAAAAAAAAAAAAAAAAAAAAGGAGAAGGGATGTCTGTGGGGGAGGGGCGACTGTACACAGGCTAGTCTCAGACGGATAATCCATTTCTAGCTCTAGTGTGAAAACGGTCAATGACAAAATCCCCGTGTCCAGTGTTTTTAATGATGGCGAAGGATTGTGCGGAGCGACTGTCTGGCGTTGCCTTGTCTGTAGGCCTCATCATTCCTCGCTGGTAATGCGTTTCAGGTCACGTGGTCCGAGCGAGTTCACCACCGAAATGCCTTGACCTAGATTGCGTGGGAAGACGCCGTACAGGGACTAGGCATGACAATGTCTACCGTAGCGTCAGAGAAAACAGGGAAATGTTGTTTATTGGCAACGTGTTTTACAAACAGTGACATCTCTGCGTGTTGTTTCACTAGTGTTTCGAGGGCACGACCTCCTGGAAATCGCAAATATTAATCCCCAGCAAGAAGCCACACTTTCGCTATAGACAAAAATTGGTTCCCCGAGCGAGTGGCGGAAATGGAACCTAGGTCTTGGTTAACACCTAAAAGGCGCTTGGCCTAACGTGCGTACGCAGTCACACTTGCCGGGAAATAAAAAACGCAACCATAAGTGAGTTTAGTACCTTCCTTAAAACTAGCAAATCTAGGGAACAATTTCTTTTACGGTTAACTCTTGTTTACCGTATTTACGGCTAACGGTTAAAATTTTTCATTTTTTACGACTATCGGCTAAATTTTTGGCCGTTTTACGCCTATCGGTTAACCCCATTGAGACCCTCTTTGAGGGGAGGTCATTTTTTGACTATTTCCACGTGTAGTTGATAGTTACGCGAAGTCGCTCTTAAGCCGCTTTCTGAAAGGCCGGCCCGAAATCTTTTTTCCGTACAATTCGTAAAAATAGCTGCTTATAATCTAATTTAACATTACCAAATTTAATAAACACGCTAACTGCTGTATGTTCCTGTATCAGTATGTAAAGAGAAACAATTAGAAACAGAAACAATTAACAGACAAGTACCGATATGACTGACATGATTTAAGATTTTTTTGTACTGCTTTTATATCAAACAAATCAAATAGTCCTGGCGATATGTAACCATCGCAAAATCGCCAAATTCAGAGGCTCCTAGGTCACTAACACAAAATACTACAATAACCGTTCTTATACTGCTCTTTTACTCCGCTTTGCTTAAGGCAACACTCCCCGGCAACACTTGTGCCAAAATCTTCGAGCGGGTGCTGAAAAAATAAGATGGAATGAGAGAAAGCTGTTAGTTGACCATGAATGTTAAAAAAGAGTAAGAGTTAATTACCACCTCCATAAGTCAAATAAGTCAATGTTATGTATTTTTTAGGTAGAGTATTTTTGCAAGTTAACTGTAGATTTCAGGTATACACTACCCAGAATACTACAGGAATGATTAGAGCATTTTTACGGGTTAACCGTAGATTTCAGGTATACACTACCCAGGATACTACAGGAATGATTAGAGCTATTTTGCAAGTTAACTGTAGATTTCAGGTATACACTACCCAGGATACCACAGGAATGATTAAGAGCATTTTTGCAAGTTAACTGTAGATTTTCAGGTATAGACTACCCAGGATACCACAGGAATGATTAGAGCATTTTTGCAAGTTAACTGTAGTTTTCAGGTATACTCTACCGAGGATACTACATGCAGGTTAATACTATGCAACGCAGGTAACAAAAGCTCAGGAAACAAGGGCACCAAGCATGACTCAGCGAGGTTAATTGTCTGCGCAATTTTTTTAAGAAAAGAGCTGACTCTCTCGAGTGTTGAACTAGAATAGAATAATCCAGAATAATAATTTTTAGCATCAAATGCTACTGATATAATTATTAATGTCTGGAGTCTCTTCCTTTTTTCTTGATTACTGATGTCACTGATCTGGACGCCAAACAAACATGCGCGGTACATATTTCCCGCCAGAAATATAATTAAAAGCACTTTCATGAGACGATGATCAAAATACAAAAGTAAAATAGGAAAGCGCCAAATGCTCGAGGCTAGCGATCGTTTGTTGGGCGTTGTGTGATAGAGTAACATGATAAATAATCGAGAAATCTGGACAGAATCTTTTAGTATACATTATCAAAAATTATGTGAAATACATCATCAGACAACACGTGCGAAAAAAATAATTTCTGCTCGATATTTTTCTCGGTATTTTTCATCAACAAAATACTGAATTATAAAAAATCTCGACTTACCAACCAAAGTCGATAACCAAGTAACGATTTCCTCCCGGGGATTTCCTACGGAAATAATTTCCCACTCTCGTTCAGCAGTTTATTGTACGTAGGTTAAAACGGATTCGTTTTGCCGGCATCAAAGTAGATTCAACCTAGCCATTTTGCTATAAAGCGACAGAGACTTTAGCGAAATATTCACACGCGATACGCGACGACCTCAGTAAAACAAGATACTAAGAGAAAAAAAAGGGTTCATTGATTGTTTCCGGCAGGCGGTGACAAGTAATGTACAGGATTAGAAGACCTCGCAAATTTCAGTCTCGATATTCTTATAAAAGATATTCTTATAAAAAAGAAAGAGTGTAATTTTTTTTATTATACTTCGTTTTGAAGAAATTGACGACCAACACACCATCGCAAGGAGCCTGGATTGATACTTTCATTTCGCGCGCAACCGACAGATTTATAGTCAGTTAATATCTGCCGTGTACCAGATAACTAACTAATCTATAGGTTGCGCTGATTTCCAAAATTAGCTGTAGGCTCTTAGCCAGTGAGAAGACAGATATTGAGTACAATGTATAAATTATAACTGTAAACCACGTTAAATATCATGGGCTATTTCTTTCTTCCTTTTGACGTAACCATGAATATTTCCCATGTTAAATTTATCTCAGAAAAGTCCGGTCACACGCACCCACCACGCCAATTTACCGCGGTAAAAGTGTCCCGTGTAACCGCACCTAATATAAGGAATTAAATTATGATTCTACCAAATCATTACATACATCCGGGTTACCATGAGATGCGCACGCACCGCCGCAGGTCAGTGCATGTATCGTTCGCCGTGGGTTTAGTCGTGTGTATTTTTCTCCGATATTTCTACGCCGTTGGCAGCTGCTTATCACGGTAAGTTAACAGTTACTTTTTCGTTTATTTTTCTTTTACTGTGGACGCGCTCCACATTACATTTTCCAGCCGTTATTGTCTGGATTTTTTCCTTTTTCGTGCTCTGTGACGTGTCACAGGCGGTCTCGGCTCTTGTGCCGAATTATAATTGTATGAGAAGACTCCTGGACGTGTCCAGAGTTTAAGCAATTGTGGTGTAACGCGTTTATACCCTTTCCTCGTATCTTTACAAGTCTCAACGAGTTTGTGACTAGCTACATAGCCGGTTATTTGGACCGATTGTTTTGATACCACGTGGCGGACGAGTCCGCTATTTTGTAGTGCAAAAAGCTTGACGTTTTCTTTATTCATCTTAATTTCTTTCCTATCGAGAAGGTTTATGCCGATTTTGAAGATTATGAGACCGGCCCTGAGAGCGGTGAAGCGAGCACTGAGTGTTCGAATACAGCTGTTGCAACGACTGTTGCAACTAAAATAAATGATTTTATCCAGCCAAAAACCTCAGACCATGCTGAAGGCTCGGATGGCGGTTCCTTTAAATCACTCGCTGATGAATTTAGCGTTCTAGAGAAAACTTCACCTGCCATAGATGCAAATTTGGCAGAAATAGTGAAGAGTCTGCTTACAGAGAAGCTCACAAAAGAAAAGTTGGCCGAGGTACAGAACAAGTACCTCAGACCTGAAAACTGCACTAATTTGGTTGCACCCAAGATAAACAAGCAAATTTGGCAACAATTACGACAGGAGACCAGAAACAATGATTCAGCTTTCCAGAAGGCACAGTCCTTGCTCTTGTCAGGTTTATATGCTGTACTTCAGCTGTGCAACAGTGCAAATGGGGATCAGAGGAATGTTTTGACCCATACAGCAGTCCTGCTGTTGTCAGCAAATAGAGAGCTTAATCTGAAACGAAGAGATCTCATTTGTCCTGACCTAAACAAGCAATATGCTCCTTTATGCAACCCATCTACAGCTGTGTCAACATTCTTGTTTGGAGATGACCTAAACAAAGAAGTGGAAGAGTTAACAAAGTCACAAAAGCTCAGTAATAAAGTGACTCCTAAGAGACGCATGGAACCTTACAAAGTCCCCGCCTCTAGAGGTGTACGTGGTCGTGGCCGCTTCTGTCATAGTGCTGGCAGGGGAAGAGCCTCCTCTAATTCTTTTTTAGGTCAAGGCCGGGGCCATGCTCGGCCCCACCAGAATCCCAGGACCTCGGCAACCAAGACCCAGTAGGATCACCAGCTGAGGTAAGTCGGACAACTCTTGCTACTACTATTATTGCAAATCAAACTCCTTTTAAGGCAGGAGGGCTGCTGGACTGTCTTCATGTATGGAAGACTATCACATCAGATCCTTTTATCTGGGATGCAGTTACTCACTGTCATATTGAATTTGACTGGGAACCTGGAGTATGTACGAGTGTTACTAGGCCTTTTTGTTCCTTTACTGAAATTGAACAGACTATCATTGACAATGAAGTAGAAAAATTCCTTCTTAAAGGGATAATAAGGCTATCATCACATGAGGATGGCCAGGTGATATCTCCAATTTTTACAAGGCCTAAGAAAGATGGGTCTCACAGGGTTATATTTAACCTAAAGAAACTGAATGAGTCAGTGACATACCATCATTTTAAAATGGACACGTTAGAGACAGCTATTAGACTCATGAGGCCTGGATGTTACATGACATCTATAGATCTGAAGGATGCGTATTACTCTATCCCTATTGCAGAAGAACATCAGAAATATTTAAAATTTATTTGGAGGGATCAATTATATGCTTTCACTAGCCTACCTATGGGATTGACTAGTAGCCCTAGGATTTTTACGAAAGTTTTAAAACCAGTCTTTAGCTACTTGAGGAGTCAGTTTGGCCACACCCGTCTGGGCTATATTGATGACTCTTTCTATCTGGAAGATAGTTATACAGAGTGTGAAGAAGCCACATTACGTGATATACAACTTTTTGTCAGTCTGGGTTTTAAAATCCATCCAGAAAAGTCCATTACTATTCCAACACAGATCTTAGAGTTTTTAGGGTTTATTTTGGACTCTATTCACATGTTAGTTACTTTGACTAACAAGAAAGCTGTTAAAATTTTACAGTTGTGCCAAAAGTTCTCTCTTCCAAATAAACGGTTTACTATTCGTGAAGTTGCATCTTTTCTTGGGACCTTAGTCTCCAGCTTTCCAGGCGTGGAATTTGGCCATTTACATTATCGCCACATTGAGGTTGACAAAGAAGCAAATCTGAAATTGAACCGGGGGAATTTTGATTCATTCATGACCTTGTCTCATGACAGTTTGGAAGAGATTCACTGGTGGTCTGCAAATATTCTAACAGCATCAAGAAGAATTTTTCATAATAGCCCTGATGTAGTTGTTTACACTGATGCATCCCAAATGGGTTGGGGTGCTCAAATCGAACATGGGAATAACACTAGTGGCATCTGGTCTAAGTCAGAGTCATCCAGGCACATAAATTACCTGGAATTATTAGCAGTTAAGCTTGCTCTGTCCTCCCTACTTGATGCCAGGAACAACATTCATGTGCAGGTTATGTCTGATAACAACACTGCTGTGTCTTACATTAATTCTATGGGAGGTTGTAGATCTTTAGAATGTAACTCCATTGCTAAGGATATTTGGGATTGGGCTATTGACAAAGATATTTGGTTATCAGCGGCCCATATTCCAGGATCAAGCAATATTGATGCTGATCAGTTATCTCGGAATTTGAATTTGGATCTGGAATGGATGCTTTCCGCTCCAATTTTTCAGAGGATAGTAGCTTTATTTGGCAAACCAGATATAGATCTATTTGCTAGTAGACTTAATGCTCAGGTAAAGGATTATGTTTCCTGGAAACCACATCCAATGGCAAAGTTTGTGGATGCTTTTACCATTGATTGGTCACAATTTTTCTTCTATGCTTATCCTCCATTTTGTCTTGTTTCAAGGTGTGTACAGAAAATAATTCACGACCAGGCATCAGGAATTCTAGTAATTCCCTTGTGGACAACTTAGCCTTATTTTACGGCTGTACTGAGCCTACTAACAGAAACGCCACGTGTATTCAATGCTTCAGTTCAGAACCTGATTCATCCAACTCTGGACGGTCCTCATCCCCTACACCAACGCCTGCAGTTGATGGTATGCAAGTTATCAGGCGATCCTTGCAAGAGTCTGAGATTTCGCCAGACATTGTCGACATCATCATGCATTCATTGAGAGACAGCACTCAGAAACAATATAAAGTGTATATTAACAAGTGGTTGCAATTTTGCAGTGAAAGAAAGATTGATCCGTTGCATCCCACTGTAACGGCTGTACTCTCTTTTCTGCACAGTCTTTTCAAGAGTGGCTTGAGCTATTCTGCGTTGAATACAGCTCGGTCTGCAGTCTCTAACATTGGTATGAGTGATAATGATGCTCCATCTCACACATCTGTTGGGAAGCATTTCCTTGTTTGCCATTACCTTAGAGGGGTGTTCAACAAGCTCAAGCCTGTGCCAAAGTATAACAATATCTGGTCTGTGGATACTGTCCTTGATTACTTGAGTTTATTTTGGCCCCTGCACGAGATCAATTTGAAGGAACTCACCCTGAAATTAGTCATGTTGATTGCCTTAACTACGGGGCAGAGGTGTCAGACTTTGACCTTTTTGGACACATCAGAGCAATATATGCAGAAGAATGATACATGTTTTAATTTTGCCTTAACTGAACACATTAAGCAGGACAAACCTGGCAAAGTGTTTGGCAATGTACGCCTTTACAAGTATCCAGTAAGGGAACTGTGTGTTTATGAAACATTAGATTATTACCTATAGGCTACTGAAAAGCTCAGGAATTCTTCAAAATTGCTTGTTTCGTACATTAAGCCCTATAAGGCAGTAACCTCGTCTACTATTGGACGCTGGATCAAAACTTTGTTGGGACAAGCAGGGGTTGATACAGAAATATTTTCTGGTCATAGCACTAGGTGTGCTTCAACGAGTAAAGCTCTTATGTCAGTTTCCACTGATGTGATTCTAGCAACAGCTGGTTGGACTGAGGAGTCCACTTTTCGGAAGTTTTACAACAAGCCAGTTGCTGTAACAAACCAGATGAGTTTGGCCGTTCTTACTTAGGTTAATGCCTTGTACAACAAAATTGTATTGCAAAGTAGTGTACAATTAAAGTCGGCGTGTGAAGTTGTTTGGGTATTTTCTCATTTTGTGCTCACTGCGTTAAAGTCTCATGGTAACCCGGATGTATGTAATGATTTGGTAGAATTGAAAATTAAACAAGACTTACCTGTAAGTTGAAGTTTGATGATAATTCTGCCAAATCATTAGTAGTACAGTAGGGTTAACATGCCCATAGCACCCATATGTTCACACCCACCCCTTATGTCGTTTCGGCTGCGTTTTAGTGATCACAAAATTCTTTTAAGACTGACCTACGGCGGTGCGTGCGCATCTCATGTTAACCCTACTGTACTACTAATGATTTGGCAGAATTATCATCAAACTTCAACTTACAGGTAAGTCTTGTTTAATTTTCAAGTTTACGCTCTGTTGATCTATTTCGAAAAGGGAGAATCAGTTAAGAAACATTCAAGGCTGATCAGGGTATAAAAAAATATTCCCCAAACAGAAAACTGACAGGAAGTAGAAAATACCGGTGTGCGTAAGGCTAGGGTATGTTTGGATTTTTGGGTAAATTTCACCGCCGAGTTACTAAAGGGTTACCAAAAAATGTTCTTTGATGTAAGTGCCAAACGCAGATTGCCGTCATATGACGGTAAAAATAAACCAAATATGCACCGCCGAGTAGTGGGGAGATTTTGCGTTCTTTTCTACATCAAGCTGACTATATATTCCAGAATATCACAAACTAGCTATAGATGAGTCTTTATAACCATAACAATATTCGAGTTGACTTCGACGAAAGCAGCATTCATACTCAACACAGAAAGATAATTACACCGTTAGCAACCTTTGTGAAGAGAGCGGTTGTTGTTAAAAGGGGACACAGAAATGTCATTCAGACTGACATTGCTTAAGGACCGCTGCAAGCTATACACAAATGTACATGTTAAGAGCGACTGTCTGTAAATATCGACCAAAATCGACTTTTTGTGGCACAAGTTCAAAATTCGAATTTCGCTCATTTTTGGCTCATCGATAACCCTTAATGAGTAATGAAACATGCTGTAGTTAGTTTTCCCAAATAACGTATTCTTTTGCTAAAATTCGAGAAAACGCATTTTGCCCGTTTGGAGCTCAAAATCCACTTCCGGTAAAGCGAAATTTTACACAAATTCAATTGACTCGTACGTCAAACCACAACGATTTGGCAGCCTTTGTAGATCACGAATAGTTTTTATGACCCTTTCTTTCTTCTAAGACGATAAATTTGTGAAAGCTGTAATAAGTTTGTGGCCAAAAAGGTATTGTTAAAAATAGGCTCTATTGACAATTTCTACCGTTCAAAATTATAGGGTTAAAATAATGTAAATTTTTACAATGCGCTATAACTTAGAATTTCGCAAATTGACTTTCTACGGCTTAACTAGGCCCCAATCTATCAGAAAATCGAAACAAATCTCTGGGCAAACGATTTTAAGTAGCCCGCAAGACGCCGATTTCAACCCTAATTTTGCGAAAAATTGCGACATTCCAGTGGTTAAAAATAGCGTGACACGGCCCGTCACGCCAGCGGTGTTAACGACAGATTCACTTTCAACATTCTATTCAACGCTGATCACATGCAAAATTCCAGCATACAATCTATATTACATCTTTCAATACACTTATCTTATTTAGAAGAGTCATTTTGTTTGGATACAATATATAGTGTAGAATTGCCCAAAAGTCGGCGTTTTTGAGCGACGTCGGCAAGACGTCGACGACCGAGCCCAACGAAAACAAACTTTGAACAAGTACAGTGGTGTGTTTTATTAATTTAAGCATGCGTCAAAAGGCATAAATACGTTAAATTTAAGACAGGGATAACCAATATTAACTAATTAGAACTTTTTTTTTTTTTCTTGCGAGTTTTCTCTTTCAAGTAATTATGTATAAGTATAAATGCACGTTTCGATGTATTACTATCACGCTTATAAAGTTACATTGTAACGAACGTTTCAGAAAACATTTTAACTCGTT